GTAGATTTAAAAAAAGAAATAATATATGCAGCAGAGTATGAAATTGGCCTGGGGGGGTATTGACACATGAAGTATGACATGCCTTGTTTTATCACTTGTGCATATCTGAAATTTAGTTTACATATTTGTTTTGCTTTTGAAACTGGCAAAGTATAACATTCTCTTCCTACAAAAAATTTGGATAAAAAACATTCACAGCCTTATTGCACTTCTACAAGAAAGCCAAGATTTTAGATGCAGATCCTTAAATTTTGGAATCTATTTGATTTCCTATCAAAATCTTAGCTGTGAGGTTTGGATGCTGATATTTTTTTGGTTTCCTTGTTTATTGAACTCTCAACTGAAGAGGAGAAGAGGATGTCAGATGTGAGGTATATAAGTAAATAAGTTTTAAAACATTTATTGTATACCAGCTCTATTTTAGGAAGCCCCCTTGATGCAGCGCAGGTGTTACTACACAGAAAGAAAAATAATTTCTCCAATGGACATTGGCTTCATGTATCAAACTATTAGAGAGCAGGAGAGCTTCTTTAATGAAAGTGTGTTGCTCCCTAGGCATACTAGGAAAGGTTATTGCAGCTCTTTAAACTTTTTTCCCCTTACTTAGTGCTTATACTGCTGAAGGACAAAGAAGGATTATGCTTTTTATTCTGTGCTATTTTGCGTACACGCATTTACAAATCTGGTCGCCCTCATTTAATGTCACTGAAATAACTTGAATCTGACGAAAGTAATAATAAAACAAATCTAAGAAAATCAACAAATTAAAGTCAGGCATTGCATTTCGATGATGCTTCAGTAGAATGATTTTAGAAAATACATTAACAAGTCTGGACTCCCACACCTCTCTGCAGGTGTTTTAGCCAACTATTTATGAGAAAACTGCTTCAGATATCTCAGGTTTAAAGGGTGGCAGGTGGGATCTTTTAGCTTCCACCAAAAGATAATCAATAGGATTTAGGTCAGAGCTCATAGAAGGCCACTTTGGAATAGTCAAATGTTTTCCTCTTAGCCATTCTTGGGTGTTTTTGGTTATGGGCTCTGGGTCATTATCCTGTTGCAAGACCAAGCTTTCTGACACTGGGCAGTGCATTTCTTTCTAGAATACCTTGATAGTCTTGAGATTTTATTGTACCCTGCAGAGATTCAAGACACCCTTTGCCAAATGAAGCAAATCAGCCCCAGATCATAACAGAACCTCCTACATGTTTCACAGTTGGGACAGTGTTCCATTCTGTGAACATATAGCTGAAGTCCTTTAGCAAACGGTTCAATTTTTGTCTCATTTGTCCATAGAACATTCGCAAAGAAGCTATGTTGCTTGTCAGCATGTAGTTTTGTGAATTTCAATTGTCTTTTTTATTATATGTTTCCAGCAATGGTGCCCTCCTTTGTCTTCTCCCATTGGCTCAAACAACTACGGATAGTGTGACCTGACATTGATGTTCCATGAGCTTAAAGTTTACCTTAAATCTCTTTAGATGTATTTCTGTGCTCTTTTGTTATAAAGTAGCAGCCATTCAAAATGGCACATCCCAGTCAAGCACCAGCCAAATGGCAGCCTACTCCCCTGTGACTCCCAGCAAAATCCCCTCCAACTTCCAGCCACTGGCCATCTCCTAGGACTCCATCCTTTCAATTACAGGGTCTGACCAGGAGATGATGCTTCTCTTTAGATGTTAATGTCCCCATATCATGACAGAAAGGATATTTTAGTACAAAGATTGACGTTTAAAAAGGAATTTTTGGGGAACAGCCAGGGCCCATCAAGGAAAGTGGGAAGATTTTAAATGGCAACTACTGTAATTTATGCTATCCAGTCCCATAGATCTTAAATTTCTGTATTGCTGCAAGTGTAACGGGAACATAAAGCTGCTTAAAGATTGTCTTACAGCCTTTACCTTTAACATGCTTGTCTATAATTTTCTTTTTCCTTTTTTTTCTCTTCTTCCTCTGGTCCATGTAGAGGGTGGTACAAACCATGCCAGCAAGTAGAACGTATATACAAAGCCCCTATGCATATATACAAAGCCCTATATACAATGGTCAGTGATAGGATCATAGACACCTCTGATGCTAATTTGCCTTTAAAACTTCTTTCCAAACATAAACTGCCGCACCCTCTGACCACCATTTGTAGGCAATTCAGGTTGAAGTGTCTTGCTCAGGGACACAATGACAGACATTTTGAACCTGCAACCTTCTGTGTGCAGGGTGAACCTCTGCATCCTACAATAGGGGTGCCCACAAATGGACACACCTTGATCCATCATGCCCCTTTGGCCACATTGTTGTTCGATCATTGCTAGGGGTGACATCATTTTTGTCCACACCTGTTTCATTCATTCATTTTTCTAAATCATTCTGTTGAAGCATGGTTTATTTTCATTTGTTAATTGTTATAGGGTTTTTATTTTATTATTGCTGTTTTGAGATTCAAGATATTTATGTGATGATTTTTTTTTCTTTCATTAAACAAAGAGTAGCAACATTTTGTTCCATGTACTGTACATACATTCTACACGTTAGTCTGATTATCCCTAGACTTATGTTTTTGCTGTCTTCAACATACAGTCTATGGACTGTTTGTTTCACTCTAATAATTAAGCCCCAATGTTGGTATATTTATACTCCATATGTACTATTTGAGCAATAGTTAATAATTCTTGCATGAATGGGGATTTATTCCCCGCCCCGGCTGGCAAGAAAAAAACAACAACAACGATAGATTGACTCCCTTGATAAACTTCCTTTAATAAAATATTACACTGCACAAATATTCCTGAAATGATAACGAAATTGGTCATAACCCATAAAAATCTGCTAGAAAGCAGGAGGAATGCAGTTCTGGACAGAATTTGTGCATAATTATAGGGGAATCGGTCTAAAAATTTGATTTGCTTAATGCTTAAAAATTTAAGGACAACCCAACATTGTCTGTTGCTTTTTAATAATACTGCCTTGCAAAAAAAAATAAAAATAAAAAGAAACAAGACTATGAAGTGGGGAAAACAAAAAAAATATTCAAAAACAAAATCAGCATGTTTACACATACAGGATATGTGAGGGTATAGGAAATTGAAAAAAAAAATCTTTTAATTATACAAATCCAATACATGTGCATATTGTTTTATATAATGTTACATGAAATGAAATGTTGAATGTTTATTCTCTGCATTGTGTATGCATGGTATGCAAATACAAAATATTTGAAAGCTCTTTTTATTATTGCTGGTTGACGTCAGTATTCAGGAGGGATTTAACTGTTTGAGCACCATGAACAAAACACAATGAAGTGTGACATCTTTGTTGCCCACAAGGGACAGATGCAGTTATAACTGGAAAGCATATCCACAAGCACTTTATAGACAAGGGCATTCAGTAAATTAAAAAGGAACTCAAACAAAAATCAAATGCTATAAATATATTTGTTGAGATTCTGTTCTGCTTCTTGAGATAATTATTTGATCAATTGAATGCTTTAGACTAGCCAATAGATCTTATTGTGTATACAAAGTGAATGAAAGTTCAGACGTGGCTTGCTCACTAGAACATTAGGTTTTATGTCATTACTTAGTTTATTTTCAGCCATTTCAAGGTTGGGGTTTGATTCAGATATCTGGGGGGCTTAGGGTCACACACTAGATGAGGTCAGACATTCCCCTCCAGAATTCATTCAGAGCTTTTCATTGATAATATTGATGCAAAGCACACTAGCAAGCCCAGATTTATATTAAACTGGAAGAAGGAACAACTTATATATATATATATATATATATATATATATATATATATATATATATATATATATAATGTAAAACATTTGTTTCTGTGTATTTGGAATAGAATAGCGAATCAATTCATTGTCCGTCCCACAATGGGGAAATTGTTGTGTTACAGCCATGGGCGGTTCTAGACAGGGGCCAACGGGGGCCAGTGCCGCTGTAGATCATATCCTGGCCCCTGTTATGGCCCCTGTACTGAAGACATAATACTTAAAAGAAATTCTAATGATGCTATGCGCTGGAACAGATATGGTTACTGATAGGTCCTTTGGATCTATTTCATTCTTCTTCTTTACAAATTCTGTTTTACTAATTACTCAAAAGCAATAAGGCGATAGCTTCAGTGCTATTGAGATAGGATCCCAGTTTTCATCTGCTAAATATTTTTTTTCTCAACAAATAAAAAACTGCTCTAATTTTTACAGATGAATTTAACAGTTTTTCTTGATTTCTAATTCAAATTCTATAGAAAAAAAATAGTTTAAACTTAAATTAGGTCAAAAATATGTACAATTCCTAAATTATAAATGTATATTGACCTCATAAGAAATAAAATTCTTATTGAACCTAACTAAAAAGAAATTACACTTTGTGCAGCTCTCTTAATATATTTGCCCTGTTTTTTATTTCATGCTTTTCTGTGCCCCCATGAAAACATGCTGGCCCCCTCCTTGCCCCCTGGTACATTTGGTCTAGATCCGCCACTGGTTACAGCATCAAAACTGGCCAAAAAAATGTGGACCTTAAAAAAGAAAAGTGTATCAAAAATAACCGAAAAGGGAAAGTTAAGAAAATAAACAAATAAACTACTGTACTCTACAGTGTTTTTTGTGTGCAATATAAATAAGAAAAAATGTACAGACCAGCATGTCATTTGTTTCTTCAATTAATAAACCACTTCCAAAACTCAAATCTGAAAAAAAGAGGTATTTTAAATCTAAATATATACTTAAATCTTAAGCACTAAAGCTGAACTAAAAACGAAATGTGGACTAATTTAATAATGAAATGTAGAGTGGTTATTTACAATAACGACAATTTAATGTTATTAATAAAGTCACATGTTTAATGGAGGGAAGTATATATATCTATTCCCCACACCATTAGGAGGAATGGATGTGGAGGAACCTTGGTTGTCATTCTCTCTACACCTGTGCTGCCGCCTCCTGGACGGACGCGACTCCTTTGCAGCGACTGTACTATAAGTGAACGGACAGCCTATGAGCCCCACTCAAAGCGAGAGAACCACACACAAGGAGCGGGATGGCGAGGATCCCAGCGCTGCACATCCGCATCCTTCTCCTGGGTTTCTCCCTGACTGGGTGCCTAACGCTCCGGGCGAGCAAAGGTGAGACGTCGCCCGACGAGGAGCGGAACCGGGAGAGCGACGCGGAGGCGCCGTGTGAGGTGAAAACCGTTACCGTGTCTACCCTGCCCGTGCTCCGGGAGAACGAGTTCAGCTTCACCGGCGGAGCCTCCGGGAGCGTGGTCGGAGGAGGAGGGAGCGCTGCTGCCGGAGCAGGTGGAGGAGGAACCGGAGGAGGAGGTGGAGCAGCAGGAGGAGGAGGAGGGGGTGAATCCCGGCTGCTGTTATTCGTCCGAACAGACCTACCTGGCCGAATCTCTGTAATGGATGATCTGGACAACACAGCTCTTCCCTATTTCACACTCGGTAAGAAGTGTGCTTTGTTTTCCCCTCCACGACGTGAGCCAGGCAGCACATTAGTGAGCAAAAAGCCCTCCACAGAGATCATACAGTCCCAGGCATCTAATCACCTCTTTTGCTTAAAGCTTCTTTGTTTGATGTACAACCAGATTTCCAGCAGCTGCTCCAAGTATTCATTTTCAAAGTAAAACAAAATGTAAAACTTTTAGTGATGTGCCTCAGTTGATGCTGATTGTGATTTAAAATGAACACATGTTTGATGTTTGAGCCCCTGGAGGCATGTTTGTTGCTGCAAACATGCAGGATATTTGACATCTATTATTGCACATATTTGTAATTTGCTGTGTTTCAGAGGAATGCAAGTTAAACTGAATGCATGGCTGTGCTATGACTAAACTAGCTGTCAGCAATTTAGTTTTCCAGGTCTTTGGGGAACCCTAGACATCAGATTTAGTGTGCAAGTGCTGTAGACATCCCAGGATAGCGGAGTGAATCAGTGCAATGCAAGGCTGGTCTTTGACAGGTCATCTGAAGTTCTGAGTTAAAGCCAACTGCTCTAAAATAGTCTGGGGAAAAGCGTCTCTGATTGGATAATCGCAGGTTACATTGTTGTGTGAAACAATGTATATCTGAGGATATACTTGCTATAAGTGTGGGTAACTTTAAATGGAAGTATATTGTAAACTCTGGTCCTTTATTTTATTTTTTTATTTTAATTATCGCCTTCCTTTTCTACTTTTACTGTGACCCACACTTTAGTCCATCTAAAAAGTGTGCAGAAAGCTTCAAGCCACACAAGGTAAAGGAGGAAGCGATAGTTACAGGATGTTCTGTTATGTAGTTTATAACTGTTCAGGTCATGTTAATGTAGAAGAGAAACCTGATCAAAACAAAGACAAATGGAGGTCAGTGATATGGATATGGAGGATTCAGGACAAAATGTCAGTAATAATTTTCTCTTTTTTTTTTTTGACAGTGGTTTGCCATCATCCTCCTTCCTTTTTTAATGTTCTCGGTTTCATTCCCTCACTAAAGAGCGTCGACTGAGGTAGCTGTGCAAAGCAAAGGCTGGCAGGCAGGCTGAGGGTTGGAGCATTAAGCTACTAAATCACTTTCTATTCTCATTAAGGACAGCCGTTGACTGGTGAGAAAGGCCTCTCTGTCCTCCCAGTCAGCCAGCTAGCAAATTTGCTACTTCACCCTTTCAGTGGATGACTGCATGCTGTGGAGTAAGAGAAGGAGCTATAATGGGACTTAATAGTTCCATGTGTGTATTATATATTGAGGGCACAGCATGTGCTCAGTATGTTCTTTGTTGAGGTTTAGACATACTGTAGTTTTTTGAAAATCCTTATTGTTTGGTCTAATGTGTTTTTTTTCTTTTTTGAAAATTGACAGCTTTGTAGGTTACACTCCCCATGGCTTTTGAAATATTATAATTTGGATATACATACTTTTTTTTTGATAAGATTGATGACAGTTTCTCTCTTTTATTTTATTTGGTTTAATGTTGCAAGAAAAGGGCTGATATTGTTTTAGTTTTATTCATGTAATGATTTCATACTTCTGTTCTTCCAGTTCGTGCACTTTCGATTTGGTTTGAACTGTTTTGAACCATTAAATAGATTTTAAATCTGTGACCTTTTAAAACCCAATTTTCATCTTTCTGTGTCATAAAATACAACACCAGCCATTTGGACCTCTAATAAAATTGTTTAGTTCAGTTCAATCTGGAAAACTCACAAGAAGAGAAAAGACAATGAGAAGAAATTTGTTGATATAATTACTTGGTCTTTGGTGCTCAGACCTCGGTAGGAAACATAGCGTTGAATTTTGGCAGATATGCATGTACAGGAGTAAAGAACAGGGCTGTTTCCCCCCCAGGCCTGAAACTGGTGGTGGAGTGGAGATAGATGAAGTTGGTCAGTCTGTAGACTGCTGGTTAGGGAGATGGTATGCTGAGCTTTATGGGGAGATCCAGTGGACTGCGTGAGCTGATACTAGAGCTTCACTCAGTGACCTGGAAGATGGAAGTCCAGCTTGGATAACACAGTTTGAGAGAAGCTGTCAGTAATGAGCAAGCATGAAACGACAGTTGAGAGGAAAAAATCCCATTTGGGAAGAAACCTCTGGCAGAACCAGCCTCAACATGGCGCTCTTCTGCCGGACTGGTTGAAATGAGAAACTGAAAGCAGTAAGAGTCTGGGAGGAATGACACTGATGAAGTTTTAACTACGATGGTGGAGGAAGGGCTGGAGGTGGGTTGAAACGGGGTCATCTGAATGAAGTTATACAACGCATCCACAGCCTGCGCACTAGGCAGCAGACGAGTTGCAGATCGGAGGAATTTTAAGATGAACTTTGGATGCTGACTGGCTTTTGTGGAGGTGTGATTCAAAGCTGATTGGCTGTGTCGCAGGTGGATGTAGGCGAGCAATCAGTTTCTTCAGTTGAACTTCCGCGTAGGCTGTATTTTTATGCATTTCCTAAAAAGGGCAAATCTAAATTAGTTAACTTCTGTCATTTAAAAATAAAGAATATTGCTAGATTAAAGATAAAGCATAAAAACCTAAGTTTAATTGTACGAAGTGTATTAAAAAGCCTTAAAATTATATTTTATATTTGAATACCTTCATTTTTGCAAAATGTAATACAAACTCCAACCCTTATTTTGGTATTTTTATGAGAAATGATTCTGAGTTAAGTTAAGTTAATTATTTTTTAATGCAGTTTGATGTCGTTTTTTTTCTTTTCTTTTTTTGTTCATTTGTTGTTGTTTTTTAAACTGATCAGAGTGTTGAGGAACATTTATTTATTACTTTCTTTTTATGTTAAACAGGATACATAGCTTTTTTTTGTCTTCCATTGATCACTTGGGATTAGAGTTTTGGTAATGCCCCTGTCACACCTTTACCATTTAGACCAGTGTATGTCTGACATATGGAAAATCTTACAAAGACGCTGGCATTCGTTAGATAAGTTATGGGTATTTTTGTATAAGTTATGAGCACGCTGAAACACGTTGGCATAGGGTGAGTACGTCGAGAAATGCTAAAAATTTCTCGACGTATGCCAGTGTATACTCATACTTTGGCCATAAGGTACAGGTAAGATATCTGATCGTTGACATATGTTAAGTGTAAGTTCTTCATAAGTCGTGGTGTCCAGCTTATACAAAACCTATAAGTAACTTGTGTATCAAGAACTTATCTTCAAGGTACAGGTCCTTCTCAAAATATTAGTATATTGTGATAAAGTTCATTGTTTTCCATCTATTGTTTTAATTTGGATGTTTTTGGCATACAGCTCATGAAAACCCAAAATTCCTATCTCTCAAAATTAGCATATCGTGAAAAAGATGCGAAAGATTCCTGAGGCATTTAAAACTCCCAGCCTGGATCGTCACTCAAAACCCTAATCATGGGTAAGACTGCCGACCTGACTGCTGTCCAGAAGGCCATCATTTACACCCTCTAGCAAGAGGGTATGACACAGAAAGATATCTCTGAACAAATAGGCTGTTCCCAGAGTGCTGTATCAAGGCAACTCAGTGGGAAGGAAAAAGTATGGCAGAAAACGCTGCACAACGAGAAGAGGTGACCGGAGCCTGAGGAAGATTGTGGAGAAGGGCCGATTCCAGACCTATGGTGACCTGCGGAAGCATTGGACCTGGAGTCTGTAGTAGAAACATTCAGGCATGTGCAGGAAATGGGCTACAGGTGCCGCATTCCCCAGGTCAAGCCACTGTTGAACCAGAAACAGCAGCAGAGGCACCTGACCTGGGCTACAGAGAAGCAGCACTGGACTGTTGCTCAGTTTTGCATGTCATTTGGAAATCAAGGTGCCAGAGTCTGGAGGAAGTCTGGGGAGAAGGAAATGACAAAATGCCAGAAGTCCAGTGTCAAGTACCCACAGTCAGCTGCTGGTGTTGGTTCACTGTGTTTTATCAAGGCCAGGGTCATTGCAGCTAGCTGTCAGGAGATTTTGGAGCACTTTATGCTTCCATCTGCTGAAAAACTTTATGGAGATGAAGATTTCATTTTTCAGCACAACATGGCACCTGCTCACAGTGCCAAAACACTGGTAAATGGTTTGCTGACCATGGTATCACTGTGCTAAATTGGCCTGCCAACTCTCCTGAGCTGAACCCCATAGAGAATCTGTGGGACATTATGAAGAGAAAGTTGAGCGATGCAAGACCCAACACTGTGGATGAGCTAAAGGCTACTATCGAAGCATCCTGGGCCTGTTCCACAGGCTGATTGCCTCCATGCCACTCCACATTGAAGCAGTCATTTCTGCAAAAGGATTTCCGACCAAGTATTGAGTGCATAACTGTACATGATTATTTGAAGGTTGACTTTTATTGTATTAAGAACAGTTTTCTTTTATTGGTTGGATGAAATATGCAAATTTTGTTATATAGAAATTTTGGGTTTTCATGAGCTGTATGCCAAAATCAATAAAGGACCTGAAATATTTCAGTTAGTGTGCAATCAATCTAAAATATATGAATGTTCAAGTTTTATCATTACATTATGAAAAATAATGAACGTTATCACAGTATGCTATTATTTTGAGAAGGACCTGTATATATTCTATTTACAGATAACTTACAGCTACTGTATAATGGCGTATTGGCAGCGTTTTGGTATAAAAGGGGATTCACAGCAGGAATCTGTCAGTTCTCCTTCAGACTTCATCCGCATCATAGGGTGAGCGAGAAGGTGAGTGTGATGAATCCTCCCTGCCTTCACGCCCACAGCTACTACCAACAAATTCCTAGCAGACATTATGCTGAACCTGCTGCGACTGCAAACCTTCTTTCTTTTTTTTTTTTTATTTATTCTTTTTTTTGGCGGTTGGTCAACATTAGCTAGGCTAATACTGCGATCAATGAAATCTTTTAATGCAGGCCAGGTGCGTCCGGGTGCATCACTGCCCCCTCAGGACACTGGCTTGTGCATCATTTCATGGGTATTACGCTGCCGTGCATTATGTATAAA